AAGATCTTGAGAGGAGGACGACGGAGAAGAGATTGCATTGTGGCCATCCCCGCTAGGGGGTGATTTCTCACTTTCTCCCAGGTGAGCGCACATGCCCTATACAAAAAATCTCTCCAAAAATTAAAAAATGGGCACCAGCCTGGGAACAAAATATTGATGGTATGCCCTGTTTCTTTAAAAACTGCCCCAACAGGCTGGCCCTGCGGTCGAGTAGTTAAGGGAACCAGGTCCCACATGGCCAGCTGGTCCCTTTGAATCCTGGCCCCAAGAACTGGAAAATCAAACTTGGCATCTCCGCGGGCCCCAAATCCCAACGGGAGAGAGAAATGGAGGAAAAAGACTCTCGGTGACCACACTCTACTAGATAGTACTTTTTCCCTCCCCCTTTCTGGCAAGTGCCAGATCTAACACATACTAGTTTTAAAGAGGGGAGTGACGAGGACAGAACACAAGGCAGTTACCCCTCAGCAGGTGGCACGGAGGTAAAGGTTGCAGGATTCCATGTGGCTGACTGGGGTTCCAGTCTGGACCTGGCGGCTTAGAAAACACGCCCAACATGCGTGTGTGTGCCCAAAATCCTGAGTGAAGAACGAGGGAGAAGGGATTTTCGAGATTTTGGCCATTCCCCTTGGGAGCTGCTTTTTTCTCTTCTCTCCCTGTCTCTCTCTGGCAAGCACGGGTGCTCTATAACATATATACATTATATCTGTTACTTAATCTTTGTTTTCATTTTAATCCTATCACCTCTTGGAGTTCCAAAAGGTCTGAGAAATCCAAGAAAAGAAGTCCCTGAGCTTTAATGGTAATCTCAAAAGGACACAGTAATCAAAAACTTCAAAAACCTTTTTGTGTAAGGATCTGCTTTATTCAACTGAATGGAAGGTTCTCCCTCTCCACTCTAGACCAGGTATAACTCGCCTCCCTATTCTGCCTACACCCCTCAAGACCTCAGGATGTGTGCCCATTTCTGCTGCCACTATTTTACTGTTCTCGGGTTTTGTTTTTGAATCTATGCTAGTTGCGGCCAATGTACCCCTTTTTGGTGGCTATTCCAATGTTCCTGCAGCTCTTAATGGCTGTCGCTTCATTTTGAGTGGAACGCATCGCATTATCAACATAGCCTTCTTCTTCTATCCCTTTGGGGTCACCTAAATTTGCCACGGTGCTGGATGAGTAGAACCTCTTTACCTTTCATGTTTTGGTTTAGAAACAGATCTTTAGGCGGCCGTCCTTCGAAGCATGTCAGACCACGTTTCCCCCAGGTGGTGTTAAATTCTGTCCCATTCCCGCGCGAAAGATGTGAGAAAAAAATGGTGCCCGTAATGCGCTCTCTGGTTCCACAGAGGAGAATATTACAGAAAATGACAGCTTTCTGTTGATGCCAATGACTTGGGCACTGTGACTTCAAGTGCAGAGTCTCCTGCCCCTGCCTTGACCATTGCTGCCATAGGAGCCCTGCAGGCACCCCCCTCCTGCACCCTAAGCTCCACATCCAAGAGCTTTCCTTAGATATAACTCGGGATCTTCCTTCAGTCCTCCTAGAACTAGGGTTAAGAACTGAAGCTCACTCTTTTCATACTCTTCTCACCAGTAAATGTTAAAATCTGTTCGTTTCCTTGCAGAGGGCAAATGGGTAAGTTTTTCCACCCCCCCTTAAAACTTGCCCCAAATCAGTGACTCTGGCCCTTGGACATCCCGGATCTCAGAGCAGGGAGTGGGCTGGCCGAGGAGGGTCCACGACCCCTAGAGGGATTTCTACCAGCAGCTCGGCCCCAGGGAACCGCGGAGGGAGGCCGGCCAGCAGGGTCTGCCAGCGCAGGCCCCGGCCGCAGC